TTCCACGCCTTGGCTCGTGTGATTAAGTAGAGGATCAATAGGAGGACCATTGTCCCTCTTGGAGGGAAACTCCCACAGGGCTTAAATCTGGGACTCTCTACCATTTGACTCTAGAACTGAAGAAGCTTCTTGGATGAGACGTGAAACGTCTTCAAGGAACTTAAGGAAGCCCAGATGCTTTTTTCTTTCCAAGCTCCTTAGACTTTGTGCTTTTAGTTTTTATTCACTTGATGATCAGAGGATGTGTATCAACCAGCATATAATGTCAAATCATATATAGTGTTCCAAGGTAATTTGGTGGAAACAATCCAAACTATGAAAACAGTAGTTAGTTGTTGGTCAGTTGTTCGGAGTAAACAACAGGTGGGTTTCCAACTGAGAGCCTGAGCAGCAGCAGTTTCCTCTCTTTGTACAGAGCAGTGCATTCAGATCCAAAGGGTGGAAAAGTCCCACAGTTTCTCTCAGCTCTCTGAATATCTGAGGGATTGTGTAATGGCAGCTGGAGGCAGAGTGACACAGCATGAAGGATGGCAGGCTTACAGCAAAAACAGACTCTCCACAACACTACAGCAATGAAAGCCCCCTTAACTGCCACAATAAACTTTTATTACAGCTAATATAAAGTCCCAAATTATTTGTTACATATATGATTATTCGCCAACATTTGGCCAAATGACATATTTTGCTGATTAAGTAAATACCGACACTTCAGAAAACACAAATTAAAGCATATCTTAATAACCTCCTAAGTAAGTGTGGGGAACTGCTGAAAACTGCTTGACCATTACTTACAAGTGAATACAAAATGTTGCAGTTACCTTAGTCTGTAACCTTCACACCAGCAACACGTGTTCAAGCCAAAAGAAGTAGATTTAAGAGGATAAAGGGAAATCTTTGACATTTAGACCACATGCATATAATCACCAACTAAAAAGAGGGAGAGTGTGTAAATGAAATATCTAAAAACATCTTTTAAAGTTTACTTAGGGATTAAGAGGGGAGAGTTTGTTTTCTTTAACAATGGCTCATTTTCTCTCTCAGATTTATGAGTTCATTCAAACACACATGCAGACATATCAGCTTTTGTGCTCTTAGACACAGCAACACAGCCTCTCCTCTGGTGTAGTTCATATACAGGCAGTTTGATCATCACTGAGGACTACGTTTTTCAAGTTTAGGTTTGTTGCTGAGGAAGGAACAACAACACAGACACATACACATACACAGCTACAGTATATGGACAAAAATATTGGGCCACCTACACATTACACCTCCAGGAGCTGCTTGGCAATAAAAACCCACACCATGAACCTACCGGTGCATGTGCCTCAGCACTCGACAGTCCTGCTCTGTAACATTACGTGGTCAGCGACTTCGTGAAAGAGTTGCTGTGGTTCCTAATTGCTTCCATTAGGCAGTAATACCACTTACAGTGGCCCGTGAAATGTCTGGTTGGGTATTACAGTACTGTGCTCTAATTTAATGAGCTCTTCAGAATGATCCACTCTTTCAGAAACGCTAGGCAGGCTGCATGTCTACGTGCTCGATTGTATACATTTGTGGCAATGGGTCTGAAAACACCTGAATTCAAAGATTAACAGGTGCAACTACTTTTGTCCATATAGTTTATGTGTCAGAATGTGCAGAGAGCCTTGAAAATTAGCAGCTATTTCACTGAAATATATCTCATCTGTTAAAGTGCAAAGATTGATAAATTCAACTATATTTATAATCAGCATGAAAAACTGAAAAAGCTGATAACTGTCATAATGAAAAGACACAAAAGCAGCCTGATATCAGACAGAACTGTCAAGTAAATATCCCTGCATGTAGGGCTGGGCGATATGGCCTAAAATCCATATCGCGATATAATTTGAAGAACGTGCGGTAACGATATATATTGCGATATATAAGGTCAGTTTTTGGCTTTCCCCATATTTCAAAAGTGCTTCATCTCTCTTGCTGTTACTGACGCCCGGCATAATTTGCAGTTGATAATGGTTGTAGCCGCTGCAATGCTTTCGACCAAAACAGGCACAGCTTGATGACATCATCAACATGCGCTATCGCGATAGAGCGGTATAGTCAAAATCTCTATCGTTGGCCAAATTTATATCGTTTCTATCGTTTCTATCGCCCACCCATACCTGCATGTCTCCTGACACAGCAGCAGTAATATTAGATGTGAAAAGTTGATCATTTTTTGAAAGCAATGCCAAATTACAGGTAAATTTACATCTAAGCACTGTAATGCTTGGAAATATTAACACTTGCAGTGTATTATGAAGTCCACAAAACTACCCCTCAGACTCCTAGTAGATGCAGTTTTCAGTTTTTAGTAGGTCCCTGATTAAATAAAGGCTTAAGTTCAATGACTTTTCCCCAAAATGAGGTCTGGAGAGATTTTCTTCCATGCTGGTTACAATTACTATGCACAAATTTACGCACCAATGTGATTGCATCAGAGAGCTGCAGACTATGCTTGTACATGAACGTAAGTAGGCGAGATATTTGATGTAATGGAATTTTCCTATACATTTGTATTCAGGATTTTTCAAGAGATTTGTCTCTGCCTTATAGTATAATGGCTCAAAGTATTGGATGAAGCCTAGCAGACTCCTGGGACACCTGTGAATCAATGCAGGGCCTAGATGACCTATAATTTTTGCCTCTGCATTTGCTTGTTTTTTCAGCTTTAGAGGTTGTATCTTGGTCAACTGTCAGAAATCACAAATTCAAAGAGAATCAATTTTGTAAACACAAGACTAGGAAAAGCAGCATATCATTAAAAATAACAGGTTGCAAGAGTGTGGAACGTGGCACGACTTTTCTTGAAAACAGATTCATCTGCAGCTGATCAACTCATATTTTCAAGTCTGATTAACACTACAAAAAAAAAAAAAACGAAAGATTGCTTCGCCCCCCCCAAAAATAAACATAAAACTGAATTCATTTCAATGCTAAACATTTGATATTTCTAAGGCCACTGTAATAATTTAAGCTTAATAACCTGGAGAATATTGACACCAAACCAAACTGGAGCTGAATGACAACACACCATGAATCAAACATTCAAGCCCCCTTTATCCTGTGTGAATCTGGGGTATGTGGGATGTAAGGTCTGGGGTTTTTCTGAGGGGCGGGTGGGGGGTGGTATCCCATATTCCTTCTCTTCTCCCCTTTTTATAACTCCAATGTGTTAACATGCAGCACCAAGCAACACAGCCCTCTGCTAACAGTTTAACAACAAGAAGACATCGCTTTGGAGAATGATATAGTCAGAGTTAGAAATATGTTCAGACACAGTCAGAAAAAGGTCAAATTACATCAGTCAGAAAAACTGCTATTGAGTGTCAAGGGACGGAGCTCCATCAAAACTGGACCTTTGTCAGCTTATGAATCATACACTATGTACTGCAGTAGGATCACTTCATCTAACCCAACCTTGGAAACTACTCACCAAATTGCCACGCTCCACCCTGTACACACATTTCACAGCTACATAACGATAGACAAGAATGCTCTGGCCATGAGAAATAGATCTAGAGTGTCACTGATCTTGACTGTTTTAAGCCTCCCCTCAGTAGCGGCCAGGGAAATCTGACAAGGCAAACGTGAAAGCACACGCTTCACCCCGAGACTGAGTGTACAAACAGCTTGTACAGACCATAAGCATAAACTCCAGAAGATAGAAAGTTCCCAGGGGATGTCATTAAATGAAGGTCTGAACACTGGCTTCCTAACATACAGAGCATTTCCACTCTGATATTATTAAGAACGGCAACAAAAATAAACACAGACTGCCCCAGCTGAACCCATTTTACAGCTGAGTACTGCAAACTGGTATCAGGTCCAAAATCAGTCCAAATTTTGTCACAGCATGGTGTCTTCTGGTATGCCTGTTAATCAGGAAATAGAGTGGGGCTGATTTAATAGCCGACTCCCCACATTGCATGTTGAAGTGGGCAAGAAAAGTCCAACTTGCCCTGAGTGTATTCATTTAAGTGTGTGTGAGACAAGGCACTTACTCATGGAATAAAGGGCTGTATGAATGTGTGTGTGACTAAGCGAACAAAGCTATTCTAAAAAGCACTCTGAAACTGCTCAGTTGGCTTTGAAAAGCACTATAAGTACCAGTCCCTCTGAAATAAACCATATTTGTGGTTAAAAAAAAAAACTTGAATTATGAAGCTCAGATTCGCTTTAATAATAAAATTTTTTTTTTTAAAAACTCCCTACAGCAGCCTGTATGATGAAGAAAGCATGAGGGAAAATGCTGCATGAAGGATTGCCTTCAAATCAGATTTCACTATTTACGCAACACACATCACCACATGTGCACCTGTCTGCTGTGCACGCATACACACAATAAAAGACAGGTAACATTAGTCCACACCCCTGGACACGCCCAAAAGAAAGAGAGAAAAAAGAAAGAAAGTTCGATCTCTCTGATTTTCCTTTTTCCTAGCAGTACTGGAAATACTGGAGTGACCTCCATGAGCCCCCCAGACTAACCAGGCGGAAGTGATAAATGCATGAACTAATGTTTTTGCCATGAAAAATACATGTAAAGTGTCCCCCGCCCCCCCTCCAGAGAGCTTTTTGGGAGAGGGACAAAATGCCTGGTTAAAGATAACCAGGCATAACCACACGGACAGCTTTGCGAGTAGCCTGATACTCGGCTCTCTGGAAAATCGACGGGAACTGTTTCCCACTCTAACCTGATTCACATTTTCACGTAAAAAAAAGCTCAAACTGGCATTACAATTCAAATTAAAATCGCGCTTCTTATATTTATGCGCAAACTAACAGCTTCAAGCGCCTCGACTCCAAACACAGTGATGTGAAACGTCGCTCTAAACCCGACAGAAACAGCCCACTCTCTTCATCGGTGCTCAATGAAACGCGCTGAGGAGTGCGCTGCGCCCTCGTTGCGTCGCTCACCCAACGCATACCAAAATTTCAACCTCAAACTTTCTCGGTTATTTAATTTTTTTTACCTTTAATGTACTTGGATTTGTTTTCATCCAACAGGCTGGACGCGGAACCCCCCATGATGCTTCTGACAGGAGACGATCCGCAGGTAGTGTTCTGCACTCAGGTACTTACACCGTCACATCAGCTAGCAGGGCGTGCTCTCCTCCTCCTCCTGCCAGTGTGTCATTCAGTGACGCTCCGCCACTTAGGCCAGCCCCAATAGCGCCTGTGGTCTCCCTAATCATCCACCGTGACTTGTTGAATCACAGCTGTAAAAAGCTCTATTCAGTTCGGTTCATCAAACGACTAATAATGAATAAACGAATAATATTAATGTAACTGACCCTTTGGATTCAGGAGTGCTCTATCTAGACAAGGAGACAAGAGGGTAGAATGTAAAATAGTTACTTCAAACATCAAACTTAGAAAGGGACAATCTTGTGATAGATTTATAAAAATACTAGAATTTTACCAACCCAAACTGTGCTGTCCTGCAGCTTGCGCAAACAGAATTGTGATGTGAATGCAATGTGGTGCCGAACACGTATTGCTTTTGCAAGAACGGCTATATAACATCTTTTTGTTTTTTATTTATTTATGGATTTTCTATTTCAGTTATTACATGTGCTATTAATCTCAGGCTCTCTTCCACAGCGTGTCTTTTATCCTGTATTCCTTCTCTCACCCTAACCGATCGCAGCAGATGGCCGCCTTTCCCTGAGCCTGGTTCTGCTGGAGGTTTCTTCCTGTTAAAAGGGAGTTTTTCCCTCCCACTGTCGCTAAAGTGCTTGCCCAAAGGGGGTCATATGATTGTTGGGTTTTTCCTCTGTATGTATTATTGTAGGGTCTACCTTATAATATAAAGTGCCTTGAGGCGACTGTTGTTGTGATTTGGCGCTGTACAAATAAAATTGAATTGAATAAGCTCGTGTGGAAGCACAACCATCTTGGTTGATCAAAGAAACAAATAAATCACTCACATAAGCAATGCTAGTCTCGAGTGATTGAAAAGCAGGCAATTGAACTTGACATTTGACTTCTCATCCAAGATGCTTTTCACACACAGTAGCTAGGAAGAAAGTACCCACAGAGACCGAAACCCTTTTCTGTATGACACTGTAAACCGGATTTTAAATGTTGAAAAGGTTGACATTTTAACGCTGAAATCTGCAGCGACTTAGTTACTTTTGGAGCCATGCATGGGAGGAATTGCAGTTTCTTAGTACTTCCATGGCTCTCGAGTTTGCGGTTACCGTTTTGCTGGTGACTAACAGACAAGCCCAATATTAGCATGTCCAGTGGAAAGAGCCAACGAAAACAAACTTATCCACAGAGCAACAGATTTGGAAAACGAAGTCTTTTAATGTGTTTCTTTTCCCTGAATGCACTAAGGTTGTTTTCATCACTTTTTAGGCTGATAATATTTTCAGTGTCACTGTTCTATGGCTAAACGGGCTGGTTCTTATTCAGCGACTTTTTACTCTGAGCACTCAAAGCACTTTATACAACGTGCCTCATTCACACAAGCACTTTTTTCCTATGCTCTTTCTATGGAAGTGTTTTCTGTCTAACGTTCACACACTACCTGGGTTAGTATATTGCCCAAGAATATTTGTCATGCAGACTTGAGCAGACGGGCATCAAACCACCAACCTTCTGATTAGTATGTAACCTGGTCTACCTTCTGAGCTACAGACCACACAAATATCTAATGTATATCTCATGCTTATTGCAGGTTACATTTTAAATATAGTAGTTCTTAGGTGTCTCTCTGCATATGTCACTGCTTAGTATTGACTCTTTTGGGTAACATGTGCGCCTGTTCCACACTGGACAAAAAAAAACCAGAACAGTTTAAAGAATGAAATTAGAGCCCAGTAAAGAATTACTAAGACAGCAAGAGACGAGATTTTTATGATGCTTTTATAAAACAAGGGAAACAAAAAGGTAATAAAGAGATTTTCAGCAGAAATAAATAGAGATAAAATGAGCCATCTGTAACACTTGACTTTGTGTACAAATAGAAAAATATCTTTCCTTGGTTTATGTTTGATTAAGGTTTATTCAGAAAAACCACATGTTTTGACTGAAACTGACTGAGAATTTAGTTCAGGCGTAAAGAAGCAAAGAAATAAAGTTTCACTTCAGGTGTGGAGTAGTGAAGCCTTTTATTTGCTCACACCGTTTTCTCCATGCTCACGCTGGTCTGAGTGGCGCTAGCGTTGGTGCATGTAGGAACGCTGTACTTGGCGAGGACAGATTTAAACTGCAGCAGCGTGGCGTCGGTTCGAACCCCCGTTGGATCAAAGTGAGTCCGACTCACTCTGAAGCCAGCTTCTGTCAGGTACTGAAGGAACTTGTTCAACCTGTGCACAGAACAAAGTATTTACAGCGAGGTGCACTCTGATCCTGACTAGTGTTTGGCCTGTTTTTGTACTTTGGTCATTAGTTTCCTATTTGTTGCAAAGTCACCAAAATGTGAAAATACTTGAATTCTTGAGAGAGTTTGGTAAAGGTCACTCACTTGGGCATATTCATGCCACGAATGCTGTGGCGATGGATGCTGTAGTAGAATGGTGGGTGATCCAGAGCGGCATCAGACTTGAGCTTTTTCACAAAGTTCCCAGATTCATCTGCAATCTTCCTCTTTCCTACGGGAAAATTCAAAATTATACCTCAACAGAAAACTGGAAATGAAGAAGTCAAAAATCATTTTTATGTAACGTCATATATGTTATACTGAATACTGAATATGTCTGAAATAATGCAGTAAAGGAAATTTTTAGGACAAAACTACAATAGTTTTTTTAATAGACGATGCCTGTAAAAAGTGTTAAAATTAAGACCAAGTAGTTAATTTATTCATCATGAATCTCTTTAATGCAGGAAAGGCTTGCACTGCCCTCTAGAGGACACATGCATGCTTAGAGTATGGCCGTCTGTGTACACAGTCTTTACTCCTTTCCCTTGTCTGCTGCAGGTTTTCACTCAGTTGTCCATGTGTGTGAAAATATTTCACACCAAGTAGGAGGCCTGAGTGAATAATGGAGGCTTAGAAAACTTTGACTCACCAGACTGATCAGCAGCACCCGACTCCTCTCCAGTGTTTAAGGTCTTAATGACAATGCCGCACTCCACTGCAGAAGAACAGAAGATCCTTTTAAGATTCAACCATGTCCACATCAGACCCATGTTACAGATGATAGATTGGTACCTTGGTTGGTGAGAGCAGACGGTCCGTGGACTAAAGACTTGAGGGTGTTGCACTCAGACTCATAGATCAGGGTTTTGACAAGCGGCTGGATATCATCCATGCTGTGCTTCACAGCTGCAGAAAGCATCCTTCTCAGAAAGCCTGTGTTAAATAGAGGACCAGACCTGCACATGCACACATACACAAACAGCTTGGTAAGTATTTGGACAATGACACTTTAACTCTTTGCTTGTGTACACAACTTCATAGGATTTTAAATGAAAGTCTTTAACAAAAGTATTAACTTTGTAGCACCATTTACATTTTGCATTACCATCTGTGTGTATTATTGTAGGATCTACCTTACAAATAAACACTTTGAGGGAGCTGTTGTTGTGATATCAGCGATTTTTCATAAACAGCCCCCCACTTTCAGAGGCTCAAACGTAATTGGACTGACTAACAAAGTTTTAAATATAAGGAATGTAAAATGTAAACAAAGCATCCTTCAAACTAAAGAAGAGAGGAAGACGGAATTGGCAGCTCGCACATCTGAAAAGACGTGCAAGCGCAGTTTGGAAAAACATACAGGTTTTCGAGCAGCACATTCTCCCATCCAGATGATATCTTTTTCAGGGAATACCTTGCATATTTAGACTTTAGATGGGTTATTTAGTCTAATTAAGGAAGGCATTAGAGGAATAGAGAACTAGGGCCAGGATGAGCCACACAGTTTTAAAATAGTTCTTGATTGTTGGTTCTTGTGGTGATATCATGCTTTTATCTCTTTCTGGACTCTTTACAAGCTTGTTTTTATCATTAAATTATGCACCCAGTTTTTGTGGGTGTTAGATGCATCCTTCAATAACAAAAATGGTTTAAAGTATCAGGATTTTGGTAAAGCATTTCTTTCACTGGCCATTAAATAATTTAATTGCCCCAAAAATGTTTTAAATTAAATGTTAGCACAAGGATAAGTGGAGGAGAATGGATGTTAACACCAAACTATTACAGCTACATGAGAACGCAGCAGTCTGTGACTGGTGTTGCTATGTGCAGTTTACCATAGAGGTCCCAGCTGCACTGCTGTTTTTCCAGGCAGACTTCCATGACAGTTGCAGGGTAATGTGTCTGAAACAAACAGGCATTAGAACACGATGATGAGGTAACTTCAGCATCTTATTAAAATTACAATTATTTGCTACAGCTCACCAAATATGTGACAGATTCTTAAATTGCTTTAATGCTTCATGATTTAAAAGCTTGTAAAGAATCCTCTACAGTATATGATTTTCAGCCACTCACCATCCACCATGTTTCCCTGTTTGAGGAACACTCTCTCCTCACACCACTGGCAGTGCATCAGTTTTCGTAACTTCTTGGCTGACTCATCAGCTTGCACAGGACCTCTGAGGACTCTCACGACCACCAGCACAAAATGCTCTAATGCCACCGCTAGCAGCACCTCAATGCCCTTGTTGCAGCGTGCTGCCGCTCTGCAGCCGATGGAAGTTAATCAGTATAAAAAGCTTATTTAATTCTGCATCACATCCCACATTAAAATAAAAACAGCCTACCGGGCGACAGTCGCCACGACCATTCGTGCTGCCAACTCCTTGTAGTATTCGGTACGTACAATGTGGCAGCCATAGTGACGCAGGGTGACGTTGGGTGACTTGGCATAAAGGGAGCTCGTGTCTGTGGATGTCACAGAGATGATGCCCAGGTTTCGGACGTTTCTGAAGGCAGCATCCAAGTAGTTCACTGCCGTACCGAATGGATCTAGGTGACTGAAACATTCATGAAATAGAAAGAAGTAGAAATTTTTTAATGACATTCTGACAGAATTGGGACCTCCCATAAACCCATAACACAGACTGTATTTAGATTCATAACATGAAAACCCTACAAAGATGAAGCTATAGTCAAAGATTATATTGAAATAGGGTCATAACCACTTTGAAAGGGAACCTGTTGTTTTGAAACTGGACAAGATGAGAAATAAATGTTTCCAATTCAACTTAGAAACTAAGAGACACTTAAAACTTATGTAGTTGTTCATCACAAGTTAGACTCAACCTGAACGATCGCATTTTGACTAACTGGATCAAAATAAATGTCATGTTAAATGAAACTTGAAACTAGGGATTGAGTCTATAAACACTTCAGTTACAGTAACTGAGTAACTGAGGTTAACTTTTATGACTCAGCGTTACTAACTTGCCATGTAAAAGATACCCTTCACACTTACATGTAGT